GTCTCGGCGTCCGAGCCATGCTGCACACTCCATACAACATAACTGGGTATTACCTTGGGTGGTACTACGTAGACGCTGCCATATGTTGCCTTGGAAGCACAGCTTCGAACAAGGTTATTAGGATAGAGTGTAGTAACCCTGGTCCCCATCCAAGACTGCCTGGTTACTGTCACTGGATGAGAGAATCTATTGAACATTTGACGGATATACATACACCCTATCCTTAAGCCGGAAGCTTCAAGCTATTGAAGCGAAAGGCCGAGCGCTTCTTGGACTTCTTTTCGTAGCCAACTGCTAGCTGTCAGTGTCAAGGCTCCCACAGGAATGAAATGCTGTATATCGGGGACACGTCAGATGTCACGCGACAGAGAGTAGATTGCGAACACACTGAGAGCCTTCGCCGACCCGAATTCCACCGTTCAAGAAGATCCGCGAGTAAAAGCTGACAAAGATGGAACCAAAGACATGGCCTAACTGCGATGAGGGCCAAGAACGACACACAACTTAGAGAAGCAGTTGCTTTGGAGACCTCTTGGTTGGCACTGCACTCACATCAATAGTGCCACCCCCAGCGTCACCGATAACAATGTCATCACCTGCTTGTAGGAAGGTCAGTAACAACTCCACCGTAATCGCCATCCTTACCTTGTTACTTTGGGCAGGCAGGCCAATCTGCTTCATAAAATACAGAATCACTTCATGGCAAACGCAATGAATAGCTCCCATAAGGCGCATCCGGAACAAACCATGCTAGAACCGCCGCTCGTCGCTTCTGGAACCGAAATTATTCATGATTTCCCCATCTTTTAGGATCTCTTTCTCAAAAGGGGTCCATAGGCCCTCTCCTTTGGCTGGATCCTTGATGTTGCTGGGGGCGACTTGGAACGTATCGAAAACGTCGTTACAAGAATTGTCCAATGGAAAAGGGTCTCCAACGTGCTTCAATAATTCGAGGGCGCAGGTGCAACTTGAACTTAGGAGTACAAAGCAAGACACGATCATGGATCAGGTATAAGGAAAAGAACATTGACCAACCATTCTGCCTTCATCCACGTCGTCAAAAGCCGTTTCTGGGACAAGCCCTCGCAAGGTTTCGGCGCCTACAGAGCGAGCTTGATCAATTGTAGTAGGTACCGTTACAGACTTACCGGTTTTTCAACCGGGAATCTACGAGAATAAGTCGAAAACCGAGTGGGCAAGATCCAGGTGCTCGCTCCCACCTCGTCACTACTTTAATTTCAGGCATTTGATCTGAGAAGCAAAAGTCAAAAACACGTCCTGCTGCCAGTAACTTGATCACGACGCACACCAAACGCACACAAAGGCGTTCCTCTCAAGCTTATTCCAAAGTGGGATGCAAGACTGAGCTTTCTAAAAGACCGTTGTGCGCAACGCACACCGTAGTTTTGTTTTAGCTGTCCAAGACGTCTGGAACTTGTTTGTGCCCATGTGCAAAGAAAGTTTCGTCCGCCATGATTGATTGAACGTCCGAAAGACGTTGCCAAACAAGGACAATTATTCTCTTTCCATCACTTCACAACAGCAAACTCTTGGGTATGCGCCCTTCAAACCTTTGATGTAAGTTCTATTTGGAGTCGGAATCACTTTTACTTAGCTACTCAATTTTTTTAGGAATTGGCTATGTACCCAGCTGGTGCTGCTCCGAGCTGATCGCTTCTCATGCCTGGACGATCCTAGTAGGCAAGCAGTTTGCCGACATCAACGCTTTCTTCCGATACATCATCCATTCAAAAGGGTGAGCTGAAAACTCACAGAAGGAGAAACTTATCCAGGGAAAGTTCGGGTTTCTCCAGCGTATGTTTTGAGGACGATAGCACATTTTTCTTCGAGCTATCGGTCCGATCGAGTAAAAGGTTTTTCCAGGATGCAGGCAGGCAAAGAAGAGCGAAGAGCGAAGACCTCATTGGCGAAGGAAATCAAGTCGTTCGAGGATTTTTCCGTACGTCACCCCAAAATGCCTGCAAGCACCCCCAATACCCCCTGACTCGTGGGCTCCCAAGACACTTTTGTGCTGATTTCAGCCCTATATTGATCATTCAGCGGTACATCGCGGCATCGGTAAAGGTCTACTTTCGTTCTCCAAAAATAAATTGATGCCGTATTAGCTTCCCAGGTCTTTTTCCCTTGATCTAAACAATTATCGATACGAGTACAGGTGACCAACAATTGACGTCCTCATATTATCCACTCAACTTGTAGTACCTGCGGTCCTTTTCCGCGAGGCCCGGTCTTTATGACGCATAATTGATCCCTGTCCGCCACAGGCACCGTGGCGTGCATGTCGGAAGTAACTCTCCAACATGACTGGCCTCGACTAAGCTCACTGAACTCCGCGAAGACAACTGCAACAAGGGCTATCACCACAGATTGGCATCATCATAATCTTGACCGAAACCTTAAACAGGGTCAAACCTGTTTTCTCAAACAAACAAGATAACGACGATCTTCGGACGCAGGGAGATCTTGACCTAATTTCGACCCGACATGCGTAGTGTTACGGCGACTTCCTTGTCCTTGAATCTGCAACCCTCGTGTCCGTCCTGATTCCTGATCTTGTCGCTTCTCGGCCATCATTCGATGTATACCTCACAGCACCGATGTATCATCAGACAGCTTTTTGTTGCTGTGCCTTGTTGCGTCATCCCATGCAAGTGACTTACATATTATAAATGTCCCCTGGCTCGCTTGAAGATTTTGAGGACCTGAGGGTGAGGTATAAGTACACTTCACCTTAGCAACAATTGAATGAATGGCGAGCTGCATGAGTAAAGATCTTTTTTTTTTTTCAGCGGCATTCTCGGGAAAATAACCTCCGTGGACAACTAACCCTAGGCCTTTCTTATCATGTACGGCATTGACTCAATGTCACTATCAGCCTTGCGCGTTGTCTCTGAGAGACGAGAACATTTTAACATTTTACCTCAACTCCTTGTAAGTAAATAGCGCCCAAAAATGACAGCGTTGTGTTGTATTATGTAGCTGCAGTCCAGCGCTCTGCGCTAGCTTTGACGCGCCGCTCTCCGCTGACGATTTTTGAAACATACGGGCAGTTTGTCCCTGATGCGGTGCCACAGTACTTTTTTCGTGACGCTACCTGCCCCTTCAAACCACATTGAGAGGCCACCAGCCTAGACCTTCAAGCTACCTTTTCAAGTTCACATTGGCTCGTTGGAGCCGGTAAAGACATTGAACGCCGATCCTGTCTTTGAGCAAGAGAAGCTTCGATTTGAAGGAGATAGAAAGGCGCGTCAGACTGAGAAAGGACGACCTCAAAAGACGACTTCGGATACCGTGCTTTATGCACTTGCGCACGGAAGCTGAGTGCGTCGCACGTTCGTCAAGGTGGTAATACTTGGATTGACGGCTGGTCAGCAGTCGCGTTGTGAAATCACTCGCCGTGCAGGAGCGTCAAGGTTTTCTAGAGAGGTGCGCGGGTGACTCAAGCCGCAAGTACGTCGTTATCTAAAGGAAGTAATAGCATTTGTAGACTTCTCGTATTCAGAGACGACGCACCCTCTCTGTGCGGGGAAAGACGGTTTTACCTGGGTCTTATAATAGGACTGACTGTCTTGATCGGACGGAATAATACGCTCAATAAGTAAAATGACAGAGGATGAACCAGATTTTATCCAAGTCGGTTGGCGTGGTCTTCACTAGAAATAAAATTTGGCGGCCCGCCCTCGAGTTTCGAGATACTTCTTGAGGAGATAAAATTTCATGGAAACACATTCCAATGAGATAACACCTCGTGTTTTGGGCGCGCTCGCTGAACCTGGATTCCTGTTCCCACATTTTACTTTGTAGTCGGAGAAAGGATGGGGTACGCTCTGTCGGATATAGAACATCATGATAAGTTGATGTGTCACAGTGCGGCCACGATGGGGGTATGCGTACCGTTTTGCCGTCCAAGCACGTCTCGCCAGGCTTTCAATTACGGGACGTATCTCCAATTAACAGTAAAGACTGCCACGCTTTTTTTCAGAGCTTATCTGTCCTCCTTTCGACGTTCGACAATAGGTGGCGGCCCGACACCTTAAATTAACGTCGATAAATTTCTTCATGCATCAAGTCCAGCCTAGCGTATCTCTCGACGCCATGATTTTGACAGCGATGCCAATAATTAGCGGTTGGAACCGATGCGGCCGAACATGTAGAACTGGAATTCTTCCGCTTTGACAATTGTTATCATCATGATGAAGGTATTTTGCAAGATCAAACGTTACTCACGACATGTAGAAGCTTTCTACTCAATAAATCAATACCATTCGGGGTCTGGGCCTTTACAAAATATGTCGAAGTTCTGACCTGCCTTGTAAAAGGCTTTCCACGATCAATGTCACGAGTGGAATGAGTGCTGAAGACGCTGATTGTGGAAAATAAAAACATCCGGTTGCGTGACTTGTTCCCATACGACTTCCATATTGCAAAAATCGAAGCCAAAGTTTCTTCTAAATTCTCTTCTAGTTATTCATTACTTGCTATTGATTACAGTCTGAAGAAGAATCTGTCAGGATTGGCGTCACAAGGAGAGAGGGTCGTTGGTACTCAGCGTCACATTTTGCTCTGAGAAAAATCCAAGTTCCAGCCCTTTCCGTGTAGCGTGATCCTAGCCGCTTTTCTACAGAGCTATCTGGGTTTCTAGGGCACAAATATATTACCTCGAACATGAGGAGGGAATTGGCAACAGGGGTTCAGCCAAAATCAACAGATATCGGAGGAATCAGGAGAAATCTAATCATTTTTCCGGACCCTGAAGGCCACCCTGAAAAGTTCTGATCGTCACCTTGCCGGACCGGACTTCGAAAAATGATGGTGACATAAAAATTGTTGCACGATTATTGAAGAGACGTTCGTCTCCCTTTTCTTCTTACCATACCTGCTTCGTCAACGTTCCCACCCACCTTCCATCCAAAACCTATATAAACCATCCTCGTCGCTGATAATCTCCCCAGCTACATTGCCTTGTCTCGACTCGTTCAGGTTTCGGACAAACCATCACTCAGGAGTCACTTGCAACCTTTGCATGTACTCGAACCAACTCTGCAGCTCCCACAATTCTCATAGAGGCAGTAAACACTCGACCGCAGGATTTCTTATCTGTTTTTGATTTCCCCCCTTACACCTTCGGAACTTCATCTCTACAACCTAACCATGGCCCCCAACTTCAACAAAAACACCTCTGGCTACAATACCCCTGAGTCCGAACTCGAATCGGTCTTGCCAGTTCACCCAACTGCGGCCCGCCGCCCTCACGCCATTACTGTTCAGTCGGAGAACACCCTCTATACCGACGAGCACATCACCGCCAAGTTCTTCAACCGAGGTGCTGAGGTCAATGTCACGAATGGTCAGTTCAACATCACCCCCACCGTCCAGGAATACGAATTCCAAACCAAGCGGACTCCGGGAAAGACTGGGTAAGCATCACCTTTTTTTTTTTTTTTTTTTTTTTTTTGACCAAGTTTTAACCTTTGATGCGATGTTTCCCTAGACTCATGATGATCGGTATTGGTGGCAACAACGGCACCACCCTCTGCGCGACCATCCTCGCCAACCGCTACAATATTATCTGGCACACCAAAGCCGGCGTTCAGCAGCCCAATTACATTGGTTCGCTGCTCCGTGCTTCTACGGTTCGTATTGGCACTGAGCCCGGTTCGGGCAAGGAGGTCCACGTTCCCGTCTCTGACGTTCTTCCCATGGTCCATCCCAATGACCTCGTCCTTGGAGGTTGGGATATCTCTGGAGTTCCCATGGACAAGGCCATGGAACGTGCGCAGGTTCTTGACTATGACCTACAGCGCCAAGTCGCACCCCATATCGCACTGCTCGGCAAACCCCTCCCTTCCATCTACTACCCCGACTTCATTGCCGCAAACCAGGAGGCTCGCGCTGACAACGTGATTCCGGGTACTGACAAGGCCGCACACCTTGAGCACATCCGTGCGGATATCAGGAAGTTCAAGAAGGACAATGAGCTCGATCGAGTTGTCGTCTTCTGGACCGCCAACACGGAGCGTTACAGCGACATCATCCCCGGTGTCAACGACACTGCGGACAACCTCCTCGCTTCCATCAAGTCCTCCCACTCCGAGGTCTCCCCCTCCACTCTCTTCGCCGTTGCGGCCATCTTAGAAGGCGAGCCCTTCGTCAATGGTGCTCCCCAAAACACCTTTGTTCCAGGAGCTATCGAGCTCGCTGAGCGTCATCACTCCTTCATCGGTGGTGATGATCTTAAGTCTGGTCAAACCAAACTCAAGTCGGTCCTTGCCGAGTTCCTCGTCAACGCTGGAATCAAGCCTCTTTCTATTGCCTCCTACAACCATCTTGGCAACAACGATGGTCACAACTTATCTGCTGAGAGGCAGTTCAGGAGCAAGGAGATCAGCAAGAGTAGCGTCGTCGACGATATGGTTGACGCCAACCGCCTTTTGTACAAGGCCCCTGAGATCGGACCCAAAGGTGTCCCTGTCGGCAAGGGTGAGCACCCTGATCACATCGTTGTGATCAAATACGTCCCTGCAGTCGGAGATTCCAAGCGCGCGATTGACGAGTACTACTCCGAGATCTTCTGCGGTGGTCGTTCGACCATCAACATCTTCAACGAATGCGAGGTATGAATAGTGTCTTCTAACCTTTTTCCGACTTCTCATGCATCTTTCTTCGCCCCTCAGGATTCCCTGCTCGCGACGCCTCTCATCTTGGATTTGACAATCCTCACTGAACTCCTGACTCGAGTTCAATACCGCCAAGTCACCCCCAACGCCAGAGAGCAGAAAGACTTTGCGCCCCTCTACTCTGTTCTCTCCCTTCTCTCCTACATGCTCAAGGCGCCCCTCGTCAAGCCTGGTAAGATTTTTGTTTCCGACATGACGAAATCAGCTGATTCCTCTTTATAGGCACTGAAGTTGTGAACAGCCTTAACAGGCAGCGGAACGCGCTTGAGGGATTCTTGAAGGCCTGCATTGGCTTGGAGGGCAGCAGTGACTTGCTCCTCGAGACGAGGATCTGGTAGAGTGTGGAGCGTTCGCCAGAGGGTCTCAACGTACCCAGATAGTATTTGAATGTCTCTTTCACCATTCAACTGGTGGTTTTGCGGCCTAAAGGGCCTTTTCTACATAAATTCGTACTGCATGTGTCTTGCTTCAACTTTGTGTATCGTCGTGCTTTTGAATGTGATTGGTTGACCGTAGCTGCAGAACAATTGAATTTCAAACGAAAAAAATTCATTTGCTGAATGCTTAGGGTCTGTTCGGTAACGAGAATGCGAGCGCATTCTCATTTTGATGGCAGCTGGATTATTCCCACCCACCAAATATACTCGGATGCTAAGAAAATATTCAGACTCCGAATGATCGCTTCTCATGCAACGTCATCACCGCCCAAACCCACGCATAAGGCCCCGGGAAGCTCAAGCCATTTCTTGTCCAAAAATAGCGGATTTGAGGGCCGAAAATTTGGCCAGTCTTTGTCCCAGAATAGCGGATTCGAGGCGATTTTGGCCCCAGGCTTGTCCACCGATAGCGGATTTGAGGGCGCAACTGGGCAGAAAATTTTCTGGAATAGCATTCATATCAAAGATGGAGATTTTACAGCCAGTGATGAAGACAAGAAGCCAATTTCGTCAGCGACATCAGTAGTGCATATGTATCTGTTTCTGGAGCCAAAAACTTTCGCGTTGTAAAATTCAAAGAGAGCTTCCATTTTGGGCGAGTCACGTGTGGACCCTTGTCCAAAATAGCGGATTTGAGGCCCCAAACATAGCGGATTTGAGGCCCATTTTGACTGCTTTTTGCGGACAAGAAATAGCGTGAGCTTCCGGGGGCCTATTCCTCAATGTTGTCCCAAAGACTCTCGTCATCGTTCAATACAGCAAGCTCATATATAGTGCACCTCTATTGCCTAAATCTTCTTTTTCTTTTTTGTCTACTTTATAGCGATTTTCAATAATGATGATGTTTAGAAATAAAAAAGTTTCAATAGCTGACCTATGTGAGCTGCATGCATGACATAATGTCACACGTCCTCTTTCAGCACCTCTTGCACACCTCCACAAAGCTTTGTCGTCGGAAACTCCTTCTGCCACTCATCTATGGTCTATCGAAAGATCAGTGATGATCTGAAAGAAGCAGTGCTGCGACTCGTGGACCGTGGACATGATACTGTCCACGACATTGCTGCAATTACAGGCAAGGGGGTGTCGGGATTGAAAAAAAAGACCTAGGGTCGATTTTTTTGGTACTGGGACGTTGGGCTGAACCAACCACCCAACGTAATCAGGCACGTGTCTACTTTAGGAAATATGATGTCACCGCCACGCAGCCTTCCCTCCTCGTCCTCCTCTCGACGTTGAACATGCTTCGCAGACCCAATTCTTGGGCACCTGCTCAATGTAAACACAAACGAGGTGATACTAGAATGGTTTGACATGAATATGTGAGTAAGTTTCACGTTGAAATCCGAACGAAAAGTTGGTTTACTTACCCACACAGTTTCGCATCCAACTCTCTTGCACTGGATCACATTGTCAGCGGTCAGCTCTGCTCGGGATCCACACAAGCAATCGTCCGATGTCGACAACCTTACGTCTTCGCCTTTCGCGCCGACCTAACGTTATCTCGCTGACAATCTCTGAGCTTGAGGTGGACGGCCCAGGAACCTTGTTGGTGTCAGAATGAGTCACAGTGTGAACATCCTGTTCTGTGGAATCCCTCGGTGAGTTTGTGTGCCCTTGTTCAATCGGAAGATGCTAATAAACCATAATTAAAGGCGTTAATGGTTGCCACACTTCCGAAAGTAAGAACTTCGCTCACCTGGAAACTGATCCACTGACGTGGATCTTGGAGTTACAGGATCAACTGTCTGACCTTGCAGCACATCCACCACTCTTTCGATCACTCTTGATATCTTCCGCAATTCGTGCACGAACGTTGATCTCGAACACTGTTCCGGCTCATCGTGAAGTTCTGGATCCTCGATGTGAGCTGATGATTCCTGTTTTGAACTGCCAGCCTGTCCTTGCGCAACTGGATCTGCTGTTACAGTGCTAGGCACTGGTTTCGGATGTGGTTTCATGAATGTGAGTAGTGACCCATCTTTCTTCCTCTTTGCCTCTCGCTCACGCTTAGCCTTCGCTTCCTTGCAGGTTTTTGTGCCCTGATGATTCTTTAGAATGTTCTCTACCCCTGCCGTACCACATCTCTTTCTTTCGCCGCACTCCGGACATTTGACGTAACCTTCGTCATCAACTTTGATTTTGGCTACCTGTAAGTAATCATCTTGAAATCAGTACCAATGAAGCCCAGAACATCTCACACCGCTTCAGTATGTTCCATTTCGGTGCCTGCTAGGTATTGGAACGCAATCGATTGCACAAGGGAGGAATATTAATGCTCACTCCGACAATATCCAATATCATATGTTATCATTGTCTTATGTAAGGAGTCCTGTTGGTGTTTTTTGGCACATCCTGAGGCATTTAGCCCACCATGAAGCTTTCTAGTATCTATGATATATAATTTATGAACTAGGAAGCCCGTCTATACTGTTTTTTGGCCAAAATTTTGGAGCTTCCAGTTTTTTTTTAACGGCCTGAGGGCCCAACCAACCAACCGGCCCCCGGTCCGGGATTATGATCCCGACACCCCCTTGATTACAGGCTTCTCCGTCTGCACTTTATACCGCGCTCGTCACCGAAAACTACACACTGGAAGCGTTGCTAAAGCAGAAGCTATTGGCCGTGGCCGGCCTAGGACACTCGCTAGAAGGGACTGTGATTATCTGCTGCGACTAGCACAACATAAGCCCACCCTCTTCTTAGATGAATATTCACGACAACTAGAACAACATCGCGAGCTCTCTGTGTCACTCACTACCCTTCATCAGACACTTGAACGTGCTGGGCTCAATGTCAAACATGTCCAAAAGATGGCTGCTGAAAGGGACCCCTTCCTACATGCCGATTTTATCCGTCGCATCGGTCAATACCCTCCAAATTACCTGCTTCCGATTGATGAGGTATCAAAAGATGATCGCACGTACACTCGGTTGTGGGGTAGGGCCCCTGTTGGGGAACGGGTTGAACAACATGACCCTTTTGTTCGGAGATGCAGATATTCCATGATTGCTGCCCTGGCTCTAGATGAGGGAATCATTGCGTCAAGAGTCATTGAGGGCTCTTTGAGACACGACACATTCCTTGAATACCTCCGTGATGACGTGGTACGTGATCTTGAATGCAGTTTAGTGATACAATAACTAATTTTTCTCTCAGCTTCCCCTCACGACCCCATTCCCTGGTCCTCGCAGCGTCCTTCTTCTCGATAATGCCAGAATCCATCATTCTGAGGAGGTCACAGCCCTGGTACACAGTTACAGTAAGTCAACAATCACATTCCATTGTACCTGTCATGATAGACATGACAGGCTGTATAATTGAATACCTCCCGCCGTACTCTCCTGATTATCAGCCAATTGAACTGGCTTTCTCGGTCATCAAATCTCACCTCCGTCGTTGTGGGCTGTCATTCTTTACATACAAGTCCCATTACTACAAGTTATACAAAACCTGTGAAGAGATCACCCCAGAGATGACATGGGGATTTTTTCGACACACAGGTTATGTTTGAATGTAAAGTACTGTACAAATTGTCTGTAATTATCAGTTGTCAGAGCAAAGTATCATCAAGCAGGTATCAAGTACACTAAGTATGAGTTGCAAAGTCATGATTCCAGCGGAGTTGCGCATCACGAACAGAGGCCAGCTCTCCGATTGACAATTTCCCTTCACCTCGAAAATCGGGATCAGAAATAAGGTGAAGAATGTGCGGCCCAGCAATCTGTATGTTGCAAAGCTTCTCCTTGATTCCATCCGAGAGGTCATACTGCCAACAAAAGTCATCCAATTTCATGGGTGGTGGAGGGACACGCTAGCACGGGGAGTTGATTGGAGAAGCACGAGCAGGAACAGTTGATCAACCACTTCGATCTTTCCATCCTATATGGAAAAAGAGTTAGCACAGCGTGAAAGAACAAATATAGGGTACGAATACAACAATCGCAGCCGCCCAGGTATGCAGATGCATATGAGTGAGGTGAATGTGCTTGGCGTTTGGGCCTGCAACGTAACAGGGTGTCTTCCCGCACTGCCGGTCTTCACAACGGTGACGGTGTTCCAGATCTTGTATAATTTTGGCTTGTGCAGTCTCTTCTCTTGAAGGTATACTGGTCTACAAGGGTTTGAGAAAGAGGGGTGGACAAAAGAGTGCATACAAATGCGTACCTTTTGTTTTTTTCGAGATGCGGCCGCTTCTTCGTGTTCAGCTTCCTCCTCCAGCTCATCAGCCCCATTTCCTATCTAGATAAGTGCATTATAATATACAGAACAGAGATTGGATAGGGTAACGGACCTGATTCTCAACAATGAACAGCTTCACCTCAAAGGGAGGCTTGTTCGTAGCTTCAGTAACCATCTGTACATAATCCTTGTCGTTATCGATATCCACCACGTCAGTCACGCGGCGTGGAATAGTATAGGAGAGCGAAAATGAGTCCGCATCGTCGAGTTCCTGTCCTTGAAAAAGCCACAAGTTTTCGAACAGATCGTCACGCTTGAGGTTGGTGCCAATGGTTTTGGACAAGAAGTCACGCAAGGGAACATCTTCATGGAAGTGATCGATCTTCGTGACAACTGTTGCCTTCGCATTGGCCCTGCGCTTTTTTCGAGGATCTGGAGGTGGGAGAAGGGGCGTGAAAACGATGGTCATCTTGATGCCCTTGTTGTTGTTATAAAGGCTCCGACCCCCTGCAAAAGTACAAGCAGATGTGTTAGTATAATGGGATGTAGAATTGGCACCTACAGCCGTCATTCACATCCTCGTCGTGGTCGTTATCGGAGTTGGACATGGAGTTGTTGAACCTGTAAACCTCTGTAAACGTGACTGGCGCTGTCACAGATTGTGACTTCTCACATGTGAAATGACCTGACCACATTTGAAACTTTTTTATTTCGAAATGTCATCATTCAAGGGGGTGTCGGGATAATAAAAAAAAGACCTAGGGTCGATTTTTTTGGTAGTGAGTGCTGGGCTGAACCAACCACCCAACGTAATCAGGCATGTGTCTATTTTAGGAAATATGACATCACTGTTGTGACCCTGTCCTTGGGCCTCCCGACATTGAACATGCATTGCAGACCCAATGCATGGGCACCTGCACAATATAAATACAAATGAGGTGATATCAGAATGGTTTGACATGAAGATGTAAGTATGTTTTATGTTGAAACCCTAACGGAAAGTGGGTTTACTTACCAATTGACCACACAGTTCAATCACATCCCACTGGATCACCTTGCCTGTGGTCAGCTCTTCTCGGAATCCACAAAAGCAATCCTCCAATCGACAACCTTACATTTTCATTCTTCACACCGACCTCATGTTTCCTTGCTGTAACGGTTGCCACACTAAGAGAAGTTATCAATGGTCCAATATTAATATTGTCTTATGTAAGCAGTATCAGTGGTGCTTTTTGGCGCATCCTGAGGCAGTGAGCACATCTTGAGGCTTTCTATTGGCTTTCTAGCATCTATTATGTATAATTTATCCACCAGGAAGGCCACCCATAATGTTTTTGGGCCAAAATTTTTGAGCTTCCAATTTTTTTTTAACAGCCTGATGGCCCAACCAACCAACCGGCCCCTGGTCCGGGATTATGATCCCGACACCCCCTTGTCATCATTATTGAAAATCGCAATAAAATATCAGGCAGAGTATTATTACAGAATTTCTTGTATCAAATGATTTGTATTTAAAAATGTTTATAAAATGTGAGCTCATTGTGCTCAACAGCAAGGGGCACCCTTGGGATGATGTCCGTCGACGTGTGACAGCGTGGAAGGTTTTGACGTTGAATGAGAAGCGATCATTCGGAGTCTAAATATTTTCTTAGTATCTGAGTGTATTTGGTGGGTGGGAATAATCCAGCTGCCATCAAAATGAGAATGCGCTCGCATTCTCGTTACCGAACAGACCCTTAGTTCTCGAACCTTCTATGGACGTCACGTCCACTGAAGTTTAAACCGTGAGTAGGTAGATAACATTTGGACCAGATGTCACCCAGCGGTGATGGCCGAACCAGGTAGTTTATAAACTCAAGACTCTCGCCATCGATTGCGCGTCTCTTTCTTTCCCTTACATCGATCTGCAATGTTCATGTTTGCGACTCTTCTCTTCTGTACTGTCGCATCTATTGCGCGATAAGTGAAGAAGACCCTCTTACCCCCTTTGCAGGCCACCGAGATTCTGTGGTTTAACTAACCTCGAGTGTATCTGCTGCTATATCAGCAGGAGTCACCGTTATCGTATCCGGGGGCTCGTCGGTCTTGTTGGCTAGCCACAGATCGATATGCCGAGGTGCCTTGGCGCATATTTTCGCCAGGGTGCCTCGGCATATCCGTCTTGATGGTGGTGCCCCAAGCTCCCGAGGCTTTATTGATGCCCAGATTAGTAGTTGTTCATTGTGGTGTGCTATGTGGCTTGGGTTAACAAGGCAAATTTAGTAGATAGGCGGTGAGTTGGCGGAGCCGTTATCATGTGAGAACCGATGATTGCCTGTCGCTCGACAAAGAGACGCTGAAAGGCTTCAGTTGACACGCCAAGCTGGCGGGGAACGATGTCGGGACTCGTAGGGGCTGCTCCTTGATGCGACCATGAAGGACATCGCGGGAGGCTGATTCTTGTCGGGGGAGGACGTCTTCCGTTGGCGCGATCGTGACCTTCGAAACGGTGAGGAGACCCACGACCGTAACAGGAGGTTTGCATTGAGCTTCTCCCGAAACACCCCCGCGTCAACCCGGGCGTATGACGGCTTCAAAGCTAGGGTACAGATCGTCGGCGGGCATGGTGGTAGGAATAGGTCTTCTTGGTCCGATGACGCCAAAGCATTGACTGGTTTGAAGCGTAGGTTTGCCGAGGAATTCGCCACCGCATAGAGCGCAGATTTTAGACTTGTCTGTGGTGATCTAGTTTTGAAATGAAATTATTGAGCTCCAATACGAAAGCTGGAACAGAGAAATATCTTGCTATAGACAGGGAAACCATGTTAGTAAAAAGGATGAAACTGGTGACGGTGAAGATAGGTCACGACTGTAAGACAGAGAGATTGCGGTTCGCCGTGCGGAAATTGTTGGTGTCCATAGAATGTGGTGACGTTAATTGGAAAAAGCAAATCTAAGCGCAAGACCTTGAACAAAACGTCCCTTGAGACTGGTTAGCCGAAGAAGTAAGAAGGAAAGATGTGGGGAAGCGTTTTTCGAATTTGGTGGGCTTCATTGAGCGTTGATTGAGCGACTCGGTAGGATGTCGATTACATAGTCACGGCCACCGCGTTTTCCTCTCCACACCGACGCGCAACGTAACTTCTTGGTAACGTTCCAGTAATTCAATTTGAAGTGGTTTTCTGATGTTTTTATAGACCTTGAACAAGTTCTTATCCTCTTGATTTACCAGAAAAACGAGGTGAACACATTCGTCATAACCGTTTGAAAAAGTTTACACTTGTTATTACCTTGAAGGATATGTAGGCTGAACTCGAAGCTGAGCGATACAAACGAAAGAACATGCACACTCAGGCTGGGAAAAGTACAAATCACAAGGAGATCGACACTCAGATATTTAAAAAGTCGAGCGGTAGGGTGTCATAGGCCAGTCGACGCTGTCCTATTTGGCAATTCAGACGTCGGGGGAATAGTGCTTCTGAAAGGTGCAGTCGGATCCAACGAGCCCAATCCTCTCTTTCTCATAAATTCTTCGTAATTTATTATTGTTGAGGATAGAGTCTCTGCGGATAAGTCGCTTCCGTCGTCATTGAAACTTCGTCGCTGCACCACTGGCAGATGCAGTAGGACCGAGTTGGGACTTTTGGTCTTGAAGCGACGCGCGATGTGCCCAAGGCAGAGGTGAGCATCTCACGTAGGAGCTCTATGTCGAACTCGCGCTTGCGGTCCGCATCCCAGACAAAGCTTGGGAAGGTCAGGTCTGTCAGCGCGAAGGTGGGCTCGGGGTCGGGGATGTTGAAATAAATAGGCCTTCCCGTGCCAATTGCACCAAAGGGGTGAACTAGTCGACGCTCAGGCCTGCCGAGGTATTGTCCGCCGAGTGGCATCAACCCATCATCAGACCCGTTGACCAGACAATTCTCTGCAGTCTAAAATGAGAGCAATGAGCACTAATTCAAGGGTCAAAACAGTGATTAATATTTGCCTTGGTGTAGACAGATAACATGTTAGGATGCTCAAATTGTTGACGCCGAACAGACCGTAAAGGCGGGGATTCGTGAGTTGTTCGTGAGGTGGATGAGGTCGTGTCTGGTTAATGCTGGATAACACCAATATCGGCAGGCGGCGGTTAATTTCGCCGGACGGTGGGTTGGAATGTGTGGATTGTGGGGATATAATCTCGCAGGACAAATTTGTTCTTATAAGAATCGCATTTGCCTCGCGTTCTTGGATGTGGCCTTGAAGGCCACTGGTCACCTGATCGCGTTTCTTTGTGAACACCACGCCTTTTGAGAACAATGGCAACAATTCGGAGCTTAGCAAGATATGGGAAATTAGAAGCGCTACATATGCGATGAAGTGGTGGCATGCGTCGTTGAGCGTAACGGACGGCGAGGCTTGTGCGTGGAGAGTCCGGCGGAGACCGGGAAAATACAGAGCAACTTGAAAGCACTCGGTGTCAGGCTCGGGATCCTCCATTCATAAAATACATCTATTACGATACAACTACGCGTGCTACAGGAGAAGGAGGGTGCAGGGTTAATAAAGCATCTATCTCGAATTAAAAAAGCGTGTACTTTGGTTGTGCCACCAGTGCCGGTCACGACTGCACTCCAGATGATGGCCTATCCGCGACTAGCCTACAATGGACCAAGTTGCAATACTAGTCAAGGAAGGGCTTCGTCAGGGTTTCTCATGTATTCTGGCGGCAAGTCGCTCTCTGGTAAGTGATCCAAATAAGGCCCGACATATGTGGGCGAACGTGTGCTAAGCACCGCAGAAGCGCTGGAGGAAGGCAAAGAAGCCTGTGTGCTTATAGACATCTTTCGTCTCCAACGCTTTTCCGGCGGAAAAGTTGTCGGCGCGGTAGGAAGCGGCCGGGGAGGCCTCCCACCAGCCCCGAGGAAAGGGTCGATAATTAATTCGTTCGGTATCCCCAAGGATGTCGTAGAAGAAGACTGAACACGTGAAGGATGCGGTGTTTGGAGTTGGTCCTCTTCTGGCGCGGACGAAACTCTTGGGGATGACGGGGAAGATCGTTGAATACGCATAGAGCGCAGTGTTTGAATTTCGTCCTGCCCTAGCCTTACCGAATCTACCCTCGTCCCTCCCTCGATGACAGGATCAAATTTCAATGTCCTGGATGCTTGCTGGAGCTGTCGTTTGTGGACCAACCAGCAGATCACAATCCCGAGAAGAACCCCAATGACTGCACTGCCTAAGCTGGAACCAATGGCTATCGCGATCATACTTTTCTTAGACCTATGGGACATATTATATTTCTTTTTTAAAACGGCGACAAGTCTAGGAATTTGAACTTACATTGCCCCCGGGGAAAGACAGTCAGTTGGACCTGATCCACCAGCATGCATGGGTCCGTTCGCCCACATAAGCCCATCGGAGCTCCTCAGGGACGCGAAAAAAGGAAACCCCTCGGGCTAAGATGCGTAAAAATGAATGATCAGTTTGCAAGAGAAGCACCGGAAGGTGGTTGTTCACCAAAGAAACCGTCCAGGAAATAGGATCCATTGACTTGGAGGTAAAATTGAGTGGGGGATGCAAACTTGGAGCAATCTGACAGTAAAAAAACCTCTTGAATGACTGTGTAATAAAAGTACGAAGTAGGATCCCACAGTCAAAGTGAAGGGCGGTATCCCTGACTTCGGAGTGAAAACAACATCTGTACACTTTCAACAAAATGGTATGAGAAGAGTCTCGCATTTCACGAAGAATAAACAGATAGAATGAAGACTGACTTGATTGACAGAACTGTATTGCGAGATAGGTCCACTCGCAGTGGTGCTAACGACCGAAAGAGCAGCGGGTGCGGTAACATTTTGACAAGTGGAGTTAGAAATACTGGTGTTGGGGACCACCGTATATAAAGATCGACATCCTCCCGACACACCGAAAACGTCAATCTAAAGTGGAAGTCAGATGAAGCGTTGATTCAACCCTTCCGGCACGAACCATGCATATCTGATACTGTAAACATCATTCAGCCGATAGTGAGAGGTGAATGTCATAATTACGCACTTGGGTACCGGGTGGGAAAGGCACCTGCCAGTCCTGCTCAAAGCCCAATCAACCGACTATCCACAAAACCGAGATTAATAACAGAGCGTACAAATGCCGGTCCAAACCCTGCTGACACGAGGTAGGGCGTGGTTGATGATCTATATATATTCTTGCTGATCGGAATTGCAAGGGGAAGCAGTGAAGAAAGCTGCTCACGATGAGTAGATTTGTAGGAAGTAAGGAGCGGTGGGAGGGCGTCTTGATATATTCCGACGGATAAGAACTTAATTCAGGATATTCGGATATTGAAAAATAATCATACCCAAGTGAGGCTCCTCTGCTCCAAGTTAGATGGAGAGTCTCGCACTGAACTACAACGACAATCAGTAGTGACCACCGCGCTGGGGAGCTGGCGACAAACCAGATATGGGGAGTGGGGGGGATTGGCCCGGAATATCGTAAGAGAAAGAGAAGCCCTGTTTTAGGAGATAAGGTTATGAGATACATAAAACATGGTAAATTCTTACTGGGACGAGGAAAGGAGCGACGTTGGCAAGGATTAGCCTCAAGGAAAGGGATACTGAACATAAAAACAAGAGGCGCATGTTCATCGCGGACGATGGCGTGCGTCCCCTTGGAAAAACAAAGAGAGAGGGCGGAGGAAACTGTTCAGGAAAGACATTGAGACCGTTTTATACCGTGAGTAGTAAGCATGATACAAATAGAGAAGGGGTGGGAGAGCCGAATTAGACAGGCGACAGTTATTCAGCAATTTGCTAAGTGGGTCCCGGAGTCCGCTCGACCTCTTGATTCTTAACGGAGTGTCGACAAAAACCTTGCCGAAGTCAATGTTCAAAAGCTTATCCCTCGTACCCCACCACATTCGCGAGCTTGAAGGCAAGCGTTGAGGCCAATCGGTGACGCCACCTCCCGCCGGGGGTGGAAGTACAAGGGGCACTCGACTGACATATTGATGGTGTATGTCAACATCCACAGCCAGGAAGATTCGATGCGATGCGGCCTCGTTCGGTAACGCCATGATATCGACTCGGCAGTGATGCATGATGGGCGCCGTGACCGCTGCGATACACGTTTCAAAGAGAATCCAAGCCCAGGTTCGTCACAAAATGGATGAATAGCGTTGAGGAAGCGTGTAGAGCCCACCGACGGGTGGAGATGACGACGATTCAAACATTAATAAATCGGGCCAAACTACGTGCCCAGAACCGTGAACTCGCACTACCAGAACTTCTGGGAACCCCCAAGGGGATTGCGGCGTTAGCTACTTTCATTCGGGAATCAGGCGCCTTCACGTTCACCGGGGAAAAATACACGCCCAAGGGACCCCCCTCCTTCTTTGAAGAGCCAGAACCGCCTGATATAGACTCAGAGGATGAAGAGTCTGACATGGGAAAGACATAGCCCAGCCATGCAACCATACCCGCGAACAAACCCCCGCGAGCGCAGGAGCGCTCGCCTTTACCTCAGCGTCACCGACGCACCAGACCAATTCCGGATTCACGGCCCTTGTACCTCCAACCTTTCACAAATCCTATACCTTATGGCTACACAAAGGACAGTAATATTCACATAAGTGAAGATCCACGGCTCAGTTACACCGAAGGGAAGCCTTGCACTTCCCGTGCGTCTTAGTACTAGACTACTTGTTGCACGTAAATCTAGAGAATCCAAAAAAAAAAAAAAAAAAAAAAAAAATTATAAATCAAAGAAGAACAAGGTCGCGGACTCACGGTTACATATCGACTTGTTTGGTTACGATTGGGGAGAGGGTCCAAGCCTCCAGGCTCAAATTGATGTGCACAACCTGCGCACGATCTTTCGTTGAATTATTTCCGTACTCTAAGAGTTCAGGTCCACTGAGGGCGACCATTTGTTCTACTTTTGCCGACACCTCCGGAGACGGCATGATTGAATAGCAAGTAGGGTTGATAGTGGCAACTCTTAAAATAGATTTTTTTCCACTTTCCGTGAACGGTGAAGCAAGATCACTCTAACCAGGCTTCAAATCATTTGGCCGAGATGGTTCAAAATAATTTCTGAACGTTAATAGCGAAGTCCTCAGCTTTCTCACATTTCAAGATGGTTGCTGATACTGTCAAGCAGTTCCCCGGACCCAGAATACTTGAGTACTTGGGTAATTACTAACTTGGGGGTTTTCATCCACGCCGGTCTGCCTTTGAAAGTACCGACTTTTTCACGACTGCTCAACCTTGCAACAAGATCATTTGTGGGCCAGCTTCCAGCGGCATCATGGGACTGAGGCGAATTACCGAGTTGAGGGTTTGTTGAATCCTAGAAAACCTGCAAAGCCGATCAGAGTAAGAACGTAAAATCAACCGCCGTATCAAAATAAAGACGCACAAGAGGACCCCACGACCCACGCCTACCCGTTTCAAGTTCCCAACTTCAGCCAAAAAAATCTTGACAGACCTACTTTTCCATAGCAGGAAGGACTCACCGGAAAGGCTTCCTCTACACCCGATCAGACTTCAAAACCATCTCATCCAACTCCTCCGGCATCTTTTCTTCCTTGTTCTCTTCGTTCTCAATCAACAGCCCAACAAAAAAAAAAAAGATATCTGAGCGTCGGTTTCGTGGTTCGCGTCGTCGCCACGCTCTTCATAGCACCAATGTGCTGCTGTGAAGAGATGGAAAAGCTTCCCCGTCAAAGAGGCGCCATCCAGGACCACAAAGTCAATACTGGAAGAGCCCGAACTTCTTGGATCAGTGGCCACCCACGACAAAGCCTCTGCCTTTCTTCCTCTGAGTCTCAGTAATACCCGTTCCCTGCCACGAACCTCGAATACCATAGACGGAATGCCCTTTTACACTGTCGCGCTATATTGGTCCCCGGATGAGCTGCGCTGCTGTAAAAAGATGGGGCGGCAACGTGGAAATTGAAGTAGCGCCGCCATCTTCAGTTCCATGAAACATCTTCGTTCATCCAGGACCACAAAGTCGATACCGAAAGAGTTCTTGTTGCGTCACGCGTGGCAGCGTGTGGTGCATGTTTCCACGTGATCTAGATATGGATCTCAGTCACGGTGGGCCACCCAAACCCTCTCTACCTTCCCTCCCAGCAATACCCCTTCCGAATCCATGCCACGAACCTCAAATACCTCAGCCTCAACTTCCTCCCCGCCAAATTACGCTCTAAATACCCTCGGAGGTCTTCCCTGGTCTGACCTCGGTGGCTCAGATGGCCCACTCGACATGAGCGACGCAATGACCTATCTCGACACCGTCAAGTTGGAGTTCCTAGATAAGCCGGAGGTGTATTGTCAGTTTTTGGATACTATGCGGGAGTTTAGGGTTTTAAGGTTCGTTCTCTCTCTTTTCTTTGCCTTCATTGCCACATCTATGTATTGAACGCGTTAGAATCGATTGTGCGGGCGTGATCGAACGCCTGGGGACGTTGTTCTACGGGAAACCTGCACTACTTGAGGGTTTCAATATGTTCCTTCCGCGTGGCTATCGGATTGATATCTCGACGGACCCGAGGAACCCGTACCCGATTATGGTCACTACGCCGCAGGGAATAAAGATGCAGAATGTTACGCCGCCGGAGTCGTATCGAGGATAATTGGATAATTGGATATTGGGATTGTGAGTACTGACGGTGTAAGAATTTAAATTGTACCGGTGAGAAGTGTTTTCTGTCGTTGAGGTTGGTGTAAAATTGAATTGATGACTCTTGATTAGAGAAAGAGAACGTTTGCTCAGTGTAAGATTGTAAGTAAAGCTTATTGTAGTTGAATAAAATTTCGTGCTTAGTGTCATCGCATGGCCAACGCATGGCGCGACCTCCACTCAAACACCCAAGTCAACCTCGCATTTCAACCCCTTCTTCGGGAGACCTCTCGTTCGTGTGGCTGCCGTATTTCTCGTGCCGTTGTTTTCCTCTTGGCGACAGCCTGAGATATCGAGGCGTAGAAGTTGAGGCAGGTATGAACTGGCACCTTCAAGTTTAAATTTCCTTTCGCATCCAAAAAAACTTTGCGTACTTGAAGATCTTCTTGTCGCTTGAGAGGTCGCTTCAAATCCATGAGACCATGTTTTAGTATGCAATCTTGTTCAGACGTCCGGTGGTCGTGTTTGGGACTGAAACGGCACCATAGTACCTCATAGTACTCTTGACTCTCGTCATCGTTGTACATATTTACATATTTTACATTATCTGTAAGATCGTCGAGTATTAAACCACCTGCAGGCCCTGGAATTTAATTTAAACAGAGTGATGGACACATATTAATTACAAGCATAAGTAATGGCATAGCAATAAGGTATGTCCGCAAATCATGACCGAAGCGATCTAAATCGTAGTCTATCAGAGTAGCACGCGAGGAAAGTTGGAGATTGAGATCAAGTTCCGTTTGACGTTGACATCGACTGGATGATCGCAACGCTGGCACTGGCGAGGGAAGAGTGGCCATGATCTCCTAAAGGCGTATTAGGCGGCGCAGCCATCATATCAAATTCCGCGACTTCTTCTTCAGTGTCAGATGAAGTCATGGAAAAGCTCTTCATGCTGGATGCGAGGATGGTGTCGTATGTGATGCCGTCTAATGGGTCGACTAGGGTACTCATAGGAACAGGAGGTTGGGAGGGTTGAAGGGGGACTCTTTGGATTGCGAAAAAGTTGGCGGGGTCAAGGACGTATTCAGATATAGAGGGAGGTCGACGTGAGGAAGATGATGAGGTCGGACGTGGTTTCGTCTTTGAGAGCACGCGCCTCTTGGAGCTGCGACTTATGCGTGTTCGGGGACGTGATGAGGTGAGCATTGGTGTGTCCTCGTCGTACCTGGAGTTGGTGCGTATGCACATAGTTGAAGTGGTGTATGTGGGTTGAGTGTGAATGAGGGAAGAAGTTAGACATGACTGTAAAATAGTACAGTTAGTACTTAAGAGGTGACGAAGGGCAGGACTGTGCGCTGTACTCGCCGGTGGGGACAAAAGGGGGCTCTTGAGCTATCGTAGTTTTCTACCTGGAGGAAAGGAGGCTGTTATTGTCATATTCCGGTAGAATAGGGGTTTGTTGTTCTTCGGTAAGTTACAAGGCTTGTAACGGCCCACAAGAGCACAAGCGATCTCTGCGTAATAGTGATAGATAAATATAAGCATGGCTGGAAGCCACCTGCCAAGATGAGCCATTATTCTGCTATTGTATTGCACTAGGTCCGTGCGTGTGAATATTGATAATCGAAGGGGTCTTGTTTGTGTGACGAATTCTCCCCGTTCGTGACCTCACAGCCGAACGAATATCTGCGCACTGACCACCGTGCTCACCGTCGAGCAAGACCCTTATCGTCAACGTCGACCACAAATGGAGACCGCGAGCACCACCCACCAGGGTGTCTACAAGGGCAAAGTCACCCACAGATCCTGGCCACAGCTCCCAGAGGAAATCGTCAGGTCAGTACGATTCAAGTTCTAGAGATTACCGGCTTGTTGCGCCACACGCGTGTGCTGATCGTCGTTGTATTGCAGACATATCGCTACCTTTTACCTATGGAAGTCGGCTGCGACGGGGTATACTCCACAAACTTGGGACGCGCGCGAATATTGGCAGCCGAGGATGGTCTACACCGCTCTACGCGACGCCGGGGACCTCGAAATCAATTTTATGAGTATATGCCCTCAGTGGCATCAAGCTCGTGAGTCGATTTGTTCATTCTTCTTCTTTCCTCCTGCGTTTCCTCGTGCACCGAATCCTGTGGACCCAAGTCACGATCGGCTCTCATTAGCGCTCGTAACTATCGGGCAGTGAACCCTTACGGCATTCTGACCGCGTCAGGCAGGCCGCATAGCTGCGACATTTTGATTTTTCATTTCTGTTTCCTTGCATATCGAATGCTGTAGACCCAAGTCACGATCGAAGTTCTCGTTAGCGCTCGTGACTACCGGGCAGTGGACTCTTACGGCGTTCTGAGCGCGTCAGCCGGGCCGCAGAGTTCATTGCTGCGACAGTGTTTTTATATTTTCATGCCACCGTGTTTCGATTTTTCTTCTTTTTTTGCTGCGTTTCCTTGCATATCGAATGCTATGGACCCGAGTCACGATTGAAGCTCTTCTTAGCGCTCGTAACTCTCGGGTGGTGAACCCCTACGCGTCAGCCAGGCTGCGACGTTGTTTTTATATTTTCATGCCACCGAGTTTCTATTTTTCATACAACTTTTCTTCTTTTTTGCTGCGTTTCTTTGCATATCGAATGCTGTGGAATGTCACGATCGAAGCTGTTATTAGCGCTCGTAACTATCGGGTGGTGAAACCTTACCCGTCAGCCGGGCCGCAGAGAATGCATTGCTGCGACATTGTTTTTCATATTCTCATCTTGCCCAGTTTCGACTTTTCATACTGACAACAATTAACAGTCGAAGGTCATCATTTTTGGCAACAAGCCGTTGCACTCATCGACCCAGCCGATTCCCTCTTGCAGCACATTATCGTGTATCCAAAATCAAATTTACACCATACAAACTCGTCCGCCGGCCCTCCACCACCCATCCGTCTCTCATTCTGGCGCCATTTCCGCAATATCATCAATTGCAGCTGCCTCGTATGCCGCATCAACTCACCTGCCACCCATCAAGGCCTCACCACCGCCAAACGCGTCATCCATTCACCTTTCCTAGGCCCCATTAACATCTGTCGCGACCACGACCGCCGGCGCAATGCCTTTTGCGGTCTTTGTCTACGCGAAGCTCCCCTCTTTGAAACTGCCGGCGTGGTCTCTTCCCATACCGCTGGCGAGCTGACCATCGCGTGTATCGAAAACGAGGATGAGGAGACATGGCCCCATGTCGATGCGACATGCAAAATCTGTAGGCAAGAATGGCTCTGGCGCCGTGTTTGCGACAACCCAAGGGACCGAGAGGCCATCGGAGGCAACGAGATGGTCAGCGATGATTGGGAAACGAGACAATGCGTCGACGGTTTCCTCGATTTGGCGGAAGGCTCCATCGCTGATGTGATTAGTCTCGCAAAAGAGAAGTGGTGGCTACGAAGGAATACGCGCCTTGGAGATATGCTCCAGCAGGCTTTGGCTGCTGCTAGGCTTGCGAGGGGGGGTGGTGCTGTGGGGTATGGAAGGGATGGGGATTATGGGAGTTTGGATGTGGCTGAGGAGGAAGAGGAGGAGGAGGAAGATGATGAGGATGATCCGGAGCTTATGCAACTGACTGAGGAGAGCGGAGTGCGAGACCTTGCGTTGGGTGATTGGGCTCGAGCGAGGATATTGGATGGCTATTGGTTCAGTCCTGCTGACATCTGGTATCAATACTCTGTTCCTGGCCAGCCCGCGGTTGTGCCAGCCATACATCCCTGTCCATGGACCCGCGAACGCTCATTATCGAATGCCTCCAGCGGCAGTGCAGTGTTGACCACTGATGAAGCCGAAGAAGTGGAGGAGGAACATCCCAAAAGATCTACCTTCACCGCCGAAATTCCGCCATCATACTCGCTCTGCGAACAAGCCTACGTTGCCCACCAGCGGCAGATGCGTGTAGTGCTTCTTCCAGTGCTCAAAAACGTCGTCCGTCGATTAGTCATGGAATGCGCTGCTTCAGAAGGGCGGCGAGAAGATCCTGCTGTAAGAGCTGCGCGGATGAATATGGAGGAGGTCCTTCGCATCGTCAGAGAGGAAGAAGGAGTATGGTTCGACGGCGTTGATTGGGCTGAGCGCCGGCGAAGTGATGATGCTGTGAAACGACGCAAACGGGTACAACGCGCGAGGGAAGATGCCCTCCTCAAACGCAGGAGGGAAGACGACTCGGGGAGTAGTAGTGGAAGCAGCAGCATCAAGTCTGCATCTGATAGTTCGTCGAGTGCGACGAGCCCTGTGTTGTCGGCTACGACGCTCCAGACGACCCCTTCGCCTCCTCCGCTCAGCGATGAGGGGGTTGAGGTCGAGAAGAAGGAGGATTATTTGCGCCCGATGATCATACCCGTGTCTCCTGTTCTTAATCCTCCACGTTTGTTGAGGCCGATACCGTATGTCCCCGTGACGACTGCGAATATGCCTCATTATAGTTTGGAAGCGTTCAGGGCTGTGAGTTTTACATTTTTCTGTCGTCTTTTTTTTTTTTTTTGATTGACAAGGGCTCTCTATTAGATCTGGAGAGAGGCCTGCGCTCCATTGTATCACTGCAGATGCAGAATCTGTGAACGAGCAGCTCTATTGGCCAATGCCCAGGCGGCTGGGGGTAATAATGTCCCACCTACAGTTGTTCCATCCCAACAAGTCGTCGAGCCAAAGACGCGTGCGGCTGTGGATTCTGTGGTACTCCCAGGCGGGGATCGAGGGCACCCGTTGGAGATCTCGCTTGATGTGGATGGGGAGGGTGAGGAGGAGGTTGGGTATGAGCGACGGGAGGAGGAGGAGGAAGAAGAAGAAGAAGAAGAGGAGGAGTATGAAGAAGACTATTCGGACGAATTGGAAAGGTGTAGTTATACGCCGCCTTCTGACGTGGAAGTGCGGCCATCGCGCAAACGGTCTTCTGATGAGCTAGAGGACGCGGAGGTGGACCACCGGCTTAGGGGAGGGACGCCCCCGAAGAGGGCTAGGAAGGGGGAGAGGTATGCTCAGGGCGAGGATTCGGTGAAATTGAAGTTGAGGAAGAGGAGTAGTGAGGAGTTGGATGATGCTGATGAGGATGCTGGTCGGGGTGGGTGTGGGAATAACAACAAGAGGGTGAGGGTGGGTGATTCGTCTCCTGCTGAGAGTCCGCGGACGACGAGTGATGTTAGCTCGTTGACGGATGAGGAGTATCGGGATAGGCAGGAGTTTCGGGATCGGCGTAGGGCTAGGGATGAGCGGGGGAAGAGGATGTCGGTGAGCGAGGTTGATTTGGATCGGTTGTATGTGTTGGCGGATGAGGAGGATGCCTAGTGCTTGTCGGGGGGCTTATCTGTCCTCTCCCATTTTTTTTGTCTTTTTCGATTATCCTGATTATAGCCCAAGCTCAAGTTCATGTACTACTATCTCTTCTCCCATCCCAGTTATCGTTGTTTATAGAGCGGATTTTAACCTGCGAACCCGCCCAGAGGTAGAATGTCAATTTGCTTTTTTCATTTCCAATGGGCACATTAAATATCCCTCAGGCCCCTTCACGCTTTCACGCTTTCGTCGGTCATTGGATACCTTCCCGTAAGGAACTGAAGATAGTTTTCAAACGTCTTCAGACAAGAGGCGTCAGATCCTCCGATCCCGACCGTTGTTCCCACAGCATGAGCACCAATACTAGGGAATCTCGCACGATGCGGCTTGAGACGGCTTATCAAAATGGCATCAGTACTGCATTCACCTTCGTCCGAATCTCCAGGCACGTCCTTGCTTTGGAAAATAGTTGAATCAGTTTGGGAAACCACATTCTCTCTCTTCGGACAATTTCTACCATCCTCGTTCAATCAAATCGACTAAAATACTCCTACTGGCAACACCGCTCCCCTTCATCTCTCATTCTCTGCAACTTCAAGAGTTCCATGAAAAAATCAAGAAAAAATCACTCTAAGTGAAGGGGAAGGAGCAAGAATAGGCATTCCAGATGATAGACAAGTGCTAGCACCATGACCGATGTGTGCCATGCCAACCCATTGTAAGTTGTAAGTTGTACCTTCTCTCTTGCTTCTATCCATCCCAAATGAGTGAGGTAGAGGCTGAGGCAAAAAAATACCAATCCTTTGTCATTTTATCATTAAATTCTAATCCCACCTATTCAATTATCAACACTGTCAATTTACTACCCACCATCTTTTTTTTGCAGTGTTACTACTACCAACTCAAATGTCTTTCTTTGAAATTGTCTTCCCATATATTATCTTCACTTCTTCTTGAAGAATTAGCAAGGGGGGAGCACAATTTTAATTTAATATATCATGTTGATTTTTTTTGTAATGTCAATACAGCTGCAACCAGGCATGTGAACAAGCTTCCATATATACAGTTATGCACATGCCAATGTTACACCCAAATCATAGAAATCATGTGATGAAAGGAATAAATAGAATTTCACAAACAAAAAGGTACAACAGTGTCAATGTGTATCTCAGCTACCATATGAGAGTGATTTTAAAAGAAATGAGCAAGATTTGAGAGCAGGGCAAAGGAATTGGAGGTGGCTGAGGTGAAACTGGAATTATGGGTCAATGGCACAGGGCCTGGCCTAGCCCATTCAGTTGTTGTTGTCTCCATTCCATCACTGCCACTCACACTTGTACTTCCCCCCTTGCCAGCATCATCACCACTGCTCTCAGGTTCTTGAACCTCAGCTATGGCATCCAGAAAGTCCTTTAACTTTGGTTTTGGGGTGGCTTTCAGGGCTGGACCCCCCTTTGGTGAAGTGCATTCCCTTCGCCTTTGCAGCATCCCATTTCTTCTCCCATGCTTTGATGGCCTTCTTGAGATTGGCAGTGGTGGGGGCCTTGGCATCCTTTTGCTCCTGTTTGACAACCTCCCATTCCTCAACAGCTGCCTTGTACAACACTCTGCCATCCTTCCTCTCCTTCTCCCTTGTGACCTCATGCATCTTCTTCTCTTTCTGCTGTGCTAGCTTGTAGAACTTGTCCCCACTCAAAAGCTGAGCCAGACCATCACTGACCAGCTTTATGGTCTTCTTCTTATTGTGCTTCTCTTCTTGTGCTGCCAGTTTTGCACAGAGCCACTTCACATAGGCTTTGTTGAGGATGTTGGAGGCCTGGAGCTTGAATGTGTGGACCTCAGTGCGAAGGTTCTGGCTTTGTGATTCCTGGAGTGCTGCCAGGAGAAGCAGCTTGTTTGCTGTAATGAGCATGATAGCCAATGCTGCTGCTGCATTGTTGATGGGAATGGAATTTTTCTGGACAGTACAGGTGGTAGTGGTAGGCATGGGATCAGCAGCAGTAGTGGGAGTGGGAGTGGTGATGAAGGCAAGGTTGGTCTTTTTGAGGGCAGCAACAGCTCCTTCAAGTATTTTGAGGTGAGTGGTGGTTTTGGTTGAATGACATGTGCATGTGGAATTTACTGTTGTTTCATTTTGTGTGGATGACAGCCTGGCCTGCTGACCCCCTGAGATAACATCAGCATTGGTATCTAGAGTATATCCCACAATTTGAAGGTCCCTCAACATGGTGGCAAGAATCTGGACAGGCTGAGAGGAAGTAGGGACAGGAAGGTGGCTCTGGATGGATGTCTCCTTGCTTGGTGCAAGCATATCAGCAGTAATGACATCAGGATTGAATGGCCAGATGCCGGTCTTGCAGAAAGCAGTCTTGATGAGTTCTGGCGTCAGAGTGGTAATGTAGGCCTTAGATATCACCTGGAGAAATTTTCCCTTGTCGATCACATTCCCAGTTGTATGAAGCAGTGCATTGTGCTCCACACCAAGATAGTGTTTCAGCACAGCAAACATGACCACATCAAGACCTTGATAGACATGTGACCCATGCACAATATAGCAGATGACTATGACCATGTGGAGGCGAGCTTGTGCCATCCACACAGATTGTAACGATGGTGGTAATATTTTCACACATTCCAGAGCACTGCTGTTAGGGTGTGGCTTTTGTACAGGGGCCGAAAACATACTCACACTCACCACCTCCCTGGGTCTGTATTCCAACTTCGTTGGTTGCATATGTGTTCTCTTTGATCTTGTATTTTGTGATGGTCTCCCCAAGAGGTTTCCACCACACCTCATTGTTGTGCAGATTTGTTGTGCATCCTCGTCTGGCTTCTAGTGGTTGGGAATGTGAGATCTTGATCTGTTCAGAATACTTTTTGGAAAAGCGGTAAGTCCAATTCTCTCTGACACCTTTGATGGGAAAGGAAGCACCAAGGCACGCACTGCATATGTCATTGACATGTTCCTTCAGCTGTGTCTGACTGAGAGGGAACCCATGATGTGCCATCTCATTGATGAAATTGATGACAATGTTGACCATCAGGAAAATCACTTTTTTCCTGGGACAAACATGTTTGTAAGCTTTTTCCCAGGGTGTCACAAGGCATCACCATGAGGATGTCCTGGGTTGGTCCTGGGGCAACCTGAACTGTCCTGAGATAACCTGAAACTACTAGTATACTAGATTTCAATAGAAAGAACATTCCTTATTGTATATGATTCATTATGATCAAAATAAGGCTGAAACAAGAAGAAACTACACCACTGTCCAGAGATTGATTGACCTACAAAAGTTGCAACAACAAAGAAGATGAAGTATCCTTTGCAAAACTTACTTGTCTTTTGTGTTCTTTTTGGCACTGGAAAGCGGCATTAAAGTTGCTTCCAACACGTCTATATACATAGCATTTAGTTCAAAACTCGCAGGGCTATGGACCAATTACTGGCAAAGAATCTGCCTAAAAATGGTAAATGTCATCAGAGGTCACCTTAAACATCGAAATATTAGGGGCTCTTAGACCTGTTTTAAAGCTCCAATTTGTGCATTTCCGGCAAGCCTAAAATCACATGAAGCGGAGCAGAACCCATAATGATATAATATGTGTTACATCTCTACACCGCCAAATTGAAAAAATGTGTGTGGGACCTGGAAGTTGAAACATGATTAGTACCTTTGCCCATCTGGGACAAACATTGATCCAATATTCTCACAACATACACATCCAGCTAATACCAGTGTGTCTCCAGATCGATGTTGGGGTGACCTGTCACCAATAGCTGGGGATCAGCTGGGAGGACAGCTGCCCCAGCCTACGTTAATTCCCTATGAGCCACAATTCTCAACATTCATTCTAAGTATGGCTGTTCAGGTTGATGTGTTCAGTTCTTATGCAGTGCAAGGAGGAGCATAAAATATGGCATATATTCATAACACAACAACAAAAAACATGGTATCATAAAAACAGTGACATCCTTCTGTAGTGGCCATTTGCCAGCCATTCCTGCTTCTGTTCCCAACAACACCCTCAAGCCCATCCCTATCAATGTCCTCCGAAATGCAACAGCGAAATGGGCACGTCGAAGGGGAGTCTCGAGAAAACTGGAGCGGAAGCGGTAGCGTAATGGCTGGGGTGGGATGCAGTGCGGCTTGGCGAGGCATTAAAACGGAAGTGGGTGAAAAGATGTCGATGTGATGATGGACCGACTGGCTTACACATTGTCTGTTGCTGCCACCTGAAAGTGAAACCTATATATCAAAAAAGAGTGAGCGGTCCTCATTAGGAAATGTTGTCAAGTCAAGTCTACAGAGAAATAAAATACAAGTGGGGTATTGGGCGCCGACAAAAGCCCAGGAAAGCGACAAGACAGTAATGAGCGCGCACAGGCGCATGGGAAGTGGACAGGCACAAAGGAGGAAACAACAGGGGGGGACAGTACAGAGTGGAAACAAGGCAACATAATGATAACAAAGGGGCAAGCAGGTAGATGGGCAAGGGGACTCTGAGGAGAGATGGTCACGGTGGTTGTGGTGAAGGAGAGAACATTGTGTTTGGTTGTGGTTGAAGTCGGAAATGACCAAATATGGTGCGGAGTTTAAACAACGTGGTGATTTTCATCTCTCTCGTTAATTTCTTGCTAAGGTTGAAATCCGCGAAATCCTTGCTTTTTTTCACTTGTGAGCATTTAGAAGGACTCATTAGATACTTTATTTACTCTCTTATTATGAATTTTCTCTTGAACATTACAATTCAGCACTCAAATAAAATTGGCACCACAGGTTATACAGAGGAGAATGGAAAACCTGTGAGCCAGATGTTGCGCTGCTGGAGCTGATGTTTACGGCTAAAGCTCTGACAAACCTGCCAGTCATGCCGAATGCAGCTACATCAGAAACCTGTCAAGCAGAGATTCACTCCAGATGCCATCAGCATTTTGAACAAATGGGGGTGTACTACAGGCCAACTAGTTCATGCTACAGTTTCTGAGGTACTCTAAATTTTTTAACACCATAAGGTGGGTTGAATTCACGTAAATAAAGTAATTAAAACAAGCCTACATAGAGGCTAAAAGGTGCAAAACTTGTGAAGTTATAGCTATGAGCTGCCTTAGAAAGTGTAAGAGTGAATTGATGGAAGTCAGCATGGTCATGGGATGTCATGTGACATGTTCAACTCACATTTTTGAACTTAGACAACTTCAATTGTCACTACTACTACCACCATGACCCAATAATGCTGCCTGTTGCAACCACAACACAATGCCTAATGCAAACAACTACACACCACCACCCTGCCACCATGACCAGCCAACAAATGAAGAACAAAAAGTCTCATGGAGGTAAGTTCATTTGTATTTTCGCTTTTTTGCCCATATGATTCAGTACCTTCCTCTGCTCCATTTTTTATGTGTGTGGGCTCGTTCTGATAGCTATGCATTCCATGAACACACTCCACAAAACCGTTTATGAAATGGTTGAGTTCTCATTGAGGTAAGTAGGTTCATAACTTCGCTTGTTTGCCCATATGCTCACCAACTGTTCAGTACCTTCCTCTGCTCTGTTTCTCATGTGTGTGGGCTCTTTCCAATACCTACGCACTCTGTGAACACACTCTACAAAACTGTTTACAAAACAGTTGAGTTCCCATGGAGGTAAGTTTGTTTTTATGTTCGCATTTTTGCCCTTATGCTCACCAGCTGCTCAGTACCCCCCTGTGGTTCGTTTCACATGTGTGTGGACTTGTTCTGATACCTACACACTCCATGAACAAACTCCACAAAACCGTTTATGAAACAGTTGAGTTCCCATGGAGGTAAGTTGGTTTGTATCTTCACTTTCTTGCCCATATGCTCTGGATCTCAGAGGATGATGATTGGCTCATGAAGGATGGGTGGCACATTAGAACAGCTGTTTGGACACCAGGTAAGTCATCCTGCTCACATAACTTTCCAAACAACTCATGCCAAACCCCCTAGACTGCAAGAACCAATTTCTATGCCAATGAATCAACATTCACAGGAGAGGGACAGCCTACATTTGTGAGTAGGGGATCTGAAACAACACTACTTCATGGTTTGGACAGCATACAAGATGGTGAGAGTGAGAATGTGGCATTGCCATTGGACACAGCATGACGATGGGCAGGCAGCAGGACAGTGTGTTGCTTGCAATGATGCTGCAGGGTCTTGACTTGCTGGTAAGTCAGTGCAGTCATTGTTCATGAAGGCTTGACCTACTTTTGTGCCCAGAACTTCCCCAACATTCGGGTTCACAGTTCTGTCAATACTGCAACATCACCCATGGCCTTGAGCATTGCAGGAGGGTTTCAAGTGGTATAGTGGTTGGGGGGACTGTCAACCAAGGTTGACACATCAACAAGAGCTGTGTGAACAATGGTAAGTCATCTACAACTTCATAGATATTGTTGCCACTCATGTAGCTTTCCACAGAATTCATGACAAACCCCCTAGACCGCAAGAAACGACTTTCATGTGATGAAGCAACATTGATGGGAGAGGGTCGACTAACATTCATGTAGGGCAGCCAAGTTGGGGAAATCCAAGTAATACAAGGGACAAGAATGTTATTGTACACTGACTAAATACATTTCAATATCCATTATATATATTTGAATATAGTGTGGTGAGGAAAATTGAAGGCCCAGTAAGTAGCATAAGGTTTGCTTCAGGGCTCTCTAGGGACAGCTCAGGCCACCCTAGGACAACCTCAGCACATCTCAGGACAACCTCAGGTTGCTCCTGGGAAATCAAAAAAAGGAACCTGTTCCTGGGGGCAACCTGATGCCCTGAGTTCCATGACAGCCTCTGGGTATCCAGGGTCTACCCTGGACACTCCTGGACACCTTCAGGAAAGAAGTGATTTTCCTGATGACTCATTGTTGAAGCAACATGGACATTACTTCATTTGGGGGGGCACATGGACCCCATCTTTTGCATCCATTTACATGTAGTTCACTCACAGATGGATTTCTTGAGCCCATCTTTGGCATGAATTTTGGGACAGTCAAGGAAGTTTACAACATCATAGGCTTTGATATACAGACCAAGGCTTTGCAGATGAGCTACAAGCACTTTAGTGAGATCTCCATCCTCCATTTGGCTCTTGTTTCACAGTCTGGTGGTGAGTAGATTGTTCAAAGTCATTGGCTTGAAATTTACCCCCAATGTCAGACTTGGTCAATGATTGCTCACTGCACTCACAATTACTTGCTCTTACCATGTTCAGGACCTGTTCCTGCTGCTTTATTAACACTTACTCAAAAGTACTCACCGTGAAACAGGCAGCATGGGCATCACACAAATACCATGGCCATGTGCTGCTTGAGAGCTTGATTGATGACATGGAGAAAGGCAAAGTTAAGTGATTTTACCCTACATATAACCTTATCATAAACTTCTGCCAATTTCTTTATTTTTGTTGTATAAACTAAGCACCAGTACTTACTGTGCATTGCCCATCTACTCTAATCTCACAAACTCCTTGTTGTGCCTTCTCTGAAGTGCAAGTAACCTGACAAGTAACTGAACCATCATAAAATGTCATGCTTAGCCAATTTGGTCAGTTATAAATGCTCTTTATCTTAATATAATACCAAGGTGTATCCATGACAGTCCCTGAAACAAGGCCAAGCACAAACTCAAAGGAATAAAAAATAGACAGGGAAAGAGCATGGGAGCACTAGTACTAAACAAGGCCAGACACAACATGAGCAAAATGAATGTAGATGAGGAAGGAGTTCAGGAGCGATAATACTAAACAAGGCCAAGTACAACATTAAAGGAACAAAAAGTAGACAGCAGTGCAGGGGCAATAGTACAAAACAAGGCTACAAAAGAATGTTAAAAGGACTTTAGACATGGAAAAGGATGGGAGCAATAGAACTAAACAAGGACATGCACAATAGCACACTTTCCTGAATGTAAAAGAGTGGCAGTTAAGTTTTCCATAGCTAGAATAGTATGGGGGTGTTCTGCTCCAAGAATGATTTTTCTTGCATCCAGAACTTGGATCTGCAGCTTCTCTGCCTCTGTGTATTTTCCCAAGTGTCCATATGTTGCTGCTAGATTTGCCATAGCATTAATTGTGTCTGGGTGATCTGCTCCTAGAATTCTGGTCCTTGCATCTAGAACTTCAATATCCAGCTTCTCTGCCTCTGTAAGTTTTCCCAACTTCCTATATGTTGCTGTTAGATTTGCCATGGTTGTGATTGTGTTTGGATGTTCCACTCCAAGAATTTTATTTCTTGCATCCAAAACTTGCATGAGCAGCTTCTCTGCCTCTATGTATTTTTCCAGGCAATGATATGTAAGTGCAAGATTTGCCATAGCTGTGATGGTGTCTGGGTGTTCCACTCCAAGAATTCTGTTCCTTGCATCCAAAACTTGAAGCTCCAGCTTTTCTGACTCTGTGTATTTTCCCAAGGTTTGATATGCAGCTGCTAGATTTGCCATGGCATCAATTGTGGCTGGGTGTTCCACTCCAAGAATTCTTATTCTTGTTTCCAGAACTTGCGTCTCCAGCTTCTCTCCCTCTATGTATTTTCCCAGGCATCGATATGTAGTTGCAAGATCTGCCATGGCTTTGATTGTATCAGGGTGTTCCACTCCAAGAATCCTTTTTCTTGCATCCAGGACTTGGATATCCAGCTTCTCTGCCTCTGTATATTTTCCCAAGTTTTGATATGTTGCTGCTAGATTTGCCTTAGCTATGATTGTGTCTCGGTGTTCCACACCAAGAATTCTGGTCCTTGCATCCAGAACTTGCATCTCCAGCTTTGCTGCATCTGTGTATTTTCCCAAGTTTACATATGTTACTCCTAGATTTGCCGTGGCTTTAATTCTTTCTGGATGTTCTGCCCCAAAACTTTTGCTCATTAGATTTAGAACTTGGATCTGCAGCTTCTCTGCCTCTGTGTATCTTCCCAGGTATTGATTTGTTACTGCTAGATTTCCCATGGCTCTAATTGTGTTTGGGTGTTCCATCCCACAAATTCTGTTTATCACACTCAGAACTTGCATCAGCAGCATCTCTGCTTCTGCATATTTTCCTAGGCTATTATATGTTTCTACTAGATTTCCCATGGCTCTGATTGTATCTGGGTGTTCAATTCCAAGAATTCTGTTTCTTGTATCTAGAACTTTATTTTTCAAGGTTTCTGCCTCCTTGAAGTACCCTTGATTATGCAAAAGCTTCCCAAACTTTTCACAAGCATCATCCAGGTAACTGACACCATTCTCATTATTTTCTGATCTGGACTGCTCCATGTTTGCTCTTATATGTGTTACCAAGGCCCTCTGGAAATCATATGGCTGTCCTCCATTCCATGTTAGTGAACAAGCCAAAGTAACATATGCTGTTAAGCAGCATTGTTTCCTCTCATTTAAGTATATCCTGTCTCTGCCCCAGGTATGGACAAGTGGATGCATGGCATACACACAATCAGATGGGCCCTTTTTGATCAAGGAGAATGATAGTAATACTCGAATTCCCTCTCTAAAGACAAAGTTATCCCAAGCACCTGTTTCTTTGAGAGGAAGTAGGCTCCGATCCAGCATAGAACTGGCAAGTGGCAATTCAGGGTGAGAGGCTTTTTGACCTCCTTGAAGTGCAGCATAGGAAAATATTTCTTCAGTGATTCCCTCATAATGAAAGAAAGGAAATAAATTGAGCAGAAGCATTGCACTATTGGCTGCATTGACTCTATGAGGATCATCAGACTCAGCCCTCTTCTGAATTTCTTCATATGATAATTCCCAAGTTCTATAGACACTTCTCTTATACTTAGAAGCTCCAGTAAATTCAGAATGTGATAATAATGTTTTTCGGTGCTCTGAATACTTTGCAAGATAGTCTCCAATAGTGGTGGCCCCAGATGCAATGTAAGCACCAGCTGAATCAATAGCAAGCGGAAGGCATGAGAACTTGTTCACAATCTTAGAAGCTTCAGCTCGAAACTCCATTGCTGATGTATCCAAGTAACTGGCTTTTAGAAGTAACTCAATAGCATCATTCTCCTCCATCTCAGTTACTTCAAGAGAATTTTCAGGTGAAGTCAGAGTCCTCATGTTGAAGTCACGACTAGTTATCAAGAGATTTCCCCCCCTTCCAGATGGAAGATAATCCTCCAGCTCAGAGGGTAATAGAACATCTGCATTGTCAAAGACCATTATATAGTTCTGGCTCAGTGAGCCAATCCAGTGAAGAGCCGATTCAGGTGAGCCATCTAGTCCCCAAGACTGAGCTGCAGGAAGATTACAGATACCCTTTAGTCCTTGTGTGATGGTGCCAATTGAGGAGGCATCAATCCAGAAAACAAAAGAGAAACTGAAGGCATTTGAAATTTCAGAAATGAGGGTTGACTCTAGCTCTTTGATGATACTCACCAGTCAGACATTTCCTCAACAAACTTCAAACAAATCTGAGTCTTTCCAATACCCCCCATTCCATACAACAGAAATGACTTCCTTTTGTGAGCTGAGTCATCTGCACTGAAAAAATGCTGCTTGAGCTTGGCAATGACTTCTGTGCGACCCGTGAACTGAATGCTCGGATTTGGCGGAAGGGGAATGACGCCTTTTAATGTAGTCCTATTGCCATAGTTGTTGTGGATGTTGATCTGCAAGAGATTCATCAGCTTATTTGATGGGTACCTTTTGTGAACGGTCCACTCACATCATTGAATGTGTTGTTGCTAGCAACAAAGTTGTAAGCGCCCGCAAAGCTCATGTTGAGAATGAGATACCGATGGAGAGGTTCAGGATGAGGGAAGGAAGGAAAGGAGAGCGCCCGGAGGCCACAAGACCCCCAGTTTTGCCACGGCTGTGAGGGAATGTTTGGTTTGGACACCTGACAGAGTTTGAAGTGCTTGCAAGAAGTTGCTGCTGACATTGTGAACGTGTTGGTCTATTTTTGTGTATCACGCCTGGTTACGTGACCCGGGTTACGTCACGTGAGCGCTGGCAACCCTCCCTTTTGGCGCGCGCCGTCACCTCCGTCACGCGGCTGGTAACCTCTCTCCGGCGATCCGCGTTCGCGGAGTCCTCGATAGGATAGATAGCGTCACACAAATGAATCTGTTTTTTCCGCTCTCTCCCCGTTCCCCTCTGATCCCTGTCTCCCCTCCTTCTCTCTGTGAACAACGGTCTACTCTTGCCCCCGGGCATCCCTGAACACCCAACTGGGTTGTTTGCACCTCAGCCCCCCTCTCCATTCAGTCCCTGTCTGACCCCCTCATCTGTTCGAGCGAGGTGATCCCGATTGAGGAAACCGCGCATCCCGAAGGTGGAAACCGCTATTGCGGCTCCCACTTTTCCCTCGAGAACGGGATCCTCGAATGCGACCCCAACGATAGCGGATAGTGAAGTCCCGATTGCGGCATCGAAAGGTGTTTCCGCGATCGAGGAAACCTTTTCAGATGTATTAAATAGACTACATCTCGAGAATAAAAGACAAAATTTTAAGAGCCACATCTGTAGTGAGGCTCATCAAAATACAGATAATGCATGGTTAACATTTTAATGAGGTTCTTTGCTGAAATTTGGTCTGAACTATTGCCTGTAAAAAGAATGGTTACCATGTTTCTGGGAGGGCTCATTGAAAAAGCACACACATCACATATTTTTTTTTCCGCCACCAGAACGGTTGGTCTCGAGCCTAGAACGTGTGGCTCTCGGAGCCATTATCGATGATATTTTG